GTACAGCTTTCCCCCTCCTTCCTCTACTTGTTATCTGCTTTTTTTTCTTTAACATAAATTTTAAGCACCAGTGACTACAAGCATTTCGGGTTGTTAGTAAGTTTCCTGAAGCTTTTCTGCCTGTCTTATAATTTGTTTTGGTTTTGTTAGGCACACCTTGAATGTAGTTAAATAGATAAAATTAATAGGTCCTGCCCACATCGCAAATGAGTTTGGTGAGGATTCAAAAGTAGGGAGAATGGGGAGGGGGAAAGGGGGAAGGAGTAGTGAGGGAGAGAGAGGAGAAACAGATTGACTCTAAAATATAGAAGCACGAGCACAAAAAAGGTGCTTAAGAAGGAGGAGGTGAGGGGGAGGAGATGCCTCTCATAAGTTGGGTTTGGCCCTGATTTGAATGTATTTATGATATGTGCGAGCCAATTATTATTGAAACATTCCCTTGGAGCTCAAAAAGATTTTTAATGCATAACGCCTTCGTGAATTCTTCCTTTGCTTTAGGTAATATATAATTTTTTCCAAAGATCTCTGCGACATTAAGCTCTCCATTCTTGTTGAAAAACACTCCTCATTTTCATTAACCAAAAAAGATCTCACATACCTATTTAGGTTTTCGTTTATTGACGGTTTCTCCACAGAACTCTTACACTAGGAAGAATGTTGGATACCTCTATGCAATCAAAAACGGAGCCAAATGGATCTATGACACCGATGATGATAACAAACCATATGGTAGGAATATCATTATAGTTTTTCTTCTTTAAATATTAGAGAAGGGCAAATTGAAAATTAGCGTCTGCAAATCAAAGAAATAAGAGAATTAAAAAGATTTTTAATTTCTTGTACCTTTCATTATGCTAAGTGCATAGATTATGTTCAAAGCACTACATAATATATTTTTCATTCTTTGAAAATTGAAGGCGGGACTTTTTTAGGTCGAGGGCTCTCACAGTTTGACTTCACAAACACAACAAGTGGTTTGTGCTATCGTAGAAGGGCCGAAGGAAGCGACACTCAGTAAGAAAATTTAGTTGTTTATTGCTAAAACAATTTCAACAATATAGCTGAATGTTCTAGCAGTTTTAACTTTTCAAAAGTATTCTTTCTTTTCAATTTGAAAAAGTTTAAACTTAGGATAACAACTTTAGGCAAAAATTATTCAACCCGTATCGCTTCTTCGGCAACCCTGCCATGTGGCCCAGGGGTTTCCCTTTAGAACATCTTAGGGTAGGTATATATACTGCTTCGTTTTGACCTTCTTCGACTGAAATAGTTTAGAATCATACAAATGGTTTGAC